GCTGCTTAGGGACAGATCTTTAAAAAGCACCTGAAGGCTTTCCAAGTGCAACTCACTTGCTTTTTTGGAAAACAAAAGTCACGTTTTTTTTCTCTCGGCATACTTCCAAGGTATTTTTGGTGCCTCCCAAGGAAGATGGGCATGTAATAGATTTTCATAAATTCCATTGAAATTATTTTGTAAAAATTGAGATGATAACGCTCTCTTTCTTTCCTCTGTCTTGTTCCTTTGTGAGAGAAGCTGTCTTTTATTGTATTTGCTAAGTACAATGAAGCTGGGAGCTGAATAGCGATCTGCTGAATAGTGATGATGATACTATGGAAAAATTTATACTTCCTGTGCTATCCATCTTACAGTCTGAAGGAACTGGGTCACAAATGGTAAGTTGCTCAAGGGCACCAAATGTCACAAGAGGAATAGATGGCTAAGTATTTCCACAGACCACTGAAACTCAGCGATTAAATAAATATAAGTGGCTGCATTCTTTATAGAGTTGATTTAAAGCATGGGTTTAAAGCTCCAATTAGGAAAACATTTGAAAACATACTTAAGTCACATTTAAAATGAAATAATAATTAAAGGGTGCTTTTTCCATAAAATGCTTAATCTCCAAAAGTAAAACTTTCAGTAATTTATGGGTATCTGCAAACAGATTCATATATGTGAAATGTTGTGCAGTTTTAATGTCAGTAGTCATTGCCAGATTAACTTCTGCATGTATACTCACGTGCAAAGATACTTAAAAATGCAGATTGCTGAGAAAATACAGTGTTACAGATGCAAAATATAACCGAGATGAGATTGTCCTAAGTTATTTGCATTCTTTATATTGCAGAATATCAGGATAGAAAGTTACATTCCTAGTACTAAAAAATAAAATAGATGATTAACTATTAATTTATGTTTTGTTCATTCCAGGAATGTAAAGTGAATTCTGATTAGTCCTGATTTTGCCTAGTTATTAATGGAAATGATGATGTTGGGTCCACAGATGTCAGATCTTGCTGTTCTGTATCCTTGTCTTTTGAAATCTGTTTCCATTTTTGCATATTCATTATTACAAACTTTATTAAGGGATTTCCAAAGACATTTTCAAGCGTGTATGTGGGCAAGAGTATCTAAGCATTAACTGAGTATCATCTGGCTTTGAATTATTTCAGTGGTTGAAATACCTCTGGCACCTTTGGGTAATTTGTCGGTGAACTGACATTCAGAGAATAGTTGGGACAGGGGAGTATTTTTAGATGCCAGGGAAAATTCACAATGAGGTATCAAAAATTTCCTTCATCTGTCTTGCAAAGTGTACTCCAAACAGGTAATAATGTTATGATGATTAAAAGAACTATAGATATATATATATGAAGGCAACATTATTTTCTCATCCAGTGTAAGCAACCAGGTGTGATGTTTCTCATGCTGTTATTTTCAATTTTGCTTAAGGATTTATGTTTAAGAAAACAGTGAGTGAGTTTGTCGAATTCTCTTACTTAAAACATTTGACATGCTGCTTTGCCTTCTGGTTCAAGCAATGCAGGGGAAAAAAAGGACAGCATCTGTAGAAAGTGTTACTGCCACAGTATTATATGCAGCGGGTACCGTAGGAAGGCACTCTGGGAAGCACGGCTAGTCCTGCATTCCTTGAGGCGTCCGATGAATATGTAAAGGGACTGGAAGGCATCTTTTATTCTGCAGGAGACAGATCTAGAGAGAGGGGACTGGGGTCCTGCTCCTGGTCCTGGCACTGTGAAGCTTGGGTTCTTCATAGGGATTTATGAAGACTGTCACGAGAGACCAGGCTGTTTGAACTATCTTTTTCTAACAGCTTTTGCAGGCATATATTGCGCTGGTATCTAGACTGACTTTTTTAGTCCACTGGTCTTTTAATAAATCACATCTGGTTCAGGGGGATCACTGTTAAGACCTATTTAATCACAGGTTACAGAAATCAGATTTTTGGTAGGTTTGCTATGGGGGCAGGAACCCCACAAGTGGATTTAGTTGAGAGGACTTGGATGGCTGTAATGGGAAAAATTATAATTTTTGAAGTGACTTTTTTGGGCGTCACTTGTGTTTCCCAACCTCAGTGAATTCCTGTCATGTCTCTCTGACTACTGCCTCTCCCCAAAAAAGCTGCTGGCTTACAGATAAATTTTCAAGCTCTCTTCTGTCCTCCGAATGACTCCTGTCCAGCCCCATCTTTCCTCCTAAACAGAATCATTGGAGACTATATAAAAGCAGGTTTTAGGATGTGCAAGGATCCTTCTTTCTGTCATTTATCTCTATGTATACCCTGAATTATAATAAGAAAGCAGATAAGATTTCAACAAATGTTTTAAAGTATGTATTTCTTTTGCATTATATTCTTTTGTATTATATTTACATGTGCTGAAATTATATACAACCTTTATAATAGTCCCAAATGTAGTGTACAAAGTAGAATTAGTATAAACCAGAAACTTTTCAAAATTATTTCCATCATTGGATATAACCAGACCTATTATTTTTCTCCTACAAATGGCTCCCAAGTTGGCCAAAAATACAAAGAAAACATAATTGGTGACTGCTTTCAGTTTTGGTTGTTTCTGAGGAAGTTTTGCACCTTTAATTCATTCTTTATAGTAATAGGGTATTTCCTCACTGTGCCATTATAAGTTATGATACAGATCCAGCTGAGTCCACGGAACTGAGTGTAAATTTAGTATTAAAGTTTCTTGGGAATGTAGAACTTAATGAATAGGAAATTTATAAACGATTGTATTCTACTGAAGCAATATGCTTGTAAGCTCTTTGTTCTGAATACCGTCCCTAGTGCACAGCCTCAAAAAATCCTTTGGGGGGGATGAGTAATGCACCAGAGTGAACAGAAGCTGGATTTGGAGAGAAGTCAGAATGTTTCTGATCACTTTGGAAAGAGACAATGTCATTATACTAAGTGAACACCAAAGTACTCTATGGGGTGGAAATCACAAGATAAAGCTGAGGGGGTTATTTTTAATCCTTCATCCACACGCTTTAGACCCTTTAGGAAGACCGTGCTAGTTTTACAGAATGTTGCATTTAAAATAAATATATTAATAGAAGATATTAAAAATCACTGTGGCTTTAGGTAATGTTTTTAATGTTCAGCTCTGTTTGACACATCTGTCTGGAGCCAGGGGAAAATTGCAAATTAAAAAGATTCACGAGATATGCACACCCCAGTGTCTGGGAGAGACTAGTCATTTGGGTAGGCCTTTTTTTTGCATGCTCTGACCCAAATAGCTTATTTTTCCCCTTTGATTTAGAACGCAGGAGAAGTTATTTGCTATTTGCAGATCAGGTTATTTGGGTCAAAGCACTGGAGTAGGCCTAAAGTATCTGAATGGACGGGGTTGAGGTTTTTTTTTCTTTTTTCTTTTTGCATCAGCTCCGTTCTAGTTCACTGCTGCTCCACATTACAGCATCAGCGACCGGCGCCAGCTCCCTGATCCCAGCACAGCAAAACTCCATCTGGGTCGCAGTGCAGGTGGGATGACTATGCCTGCAGGTACGTGGTGCCCGTGTGTGGAGGGCCCTTCTCTTTTCAAACAGAATTAAACACTAGTTGGCAAAGAGTACGAGCTGCACGTGATCTTTGATAAGGCTCTCGATGCAGCGTTTCTTAAGTGAAAACATAATTCAAAAATTATCTTGGATGAGAACTCTGCCATTAGGCAATGACAAGTAAAGGGTAATGATCAAAAAGTACTGTAGCTAGCAGAGAGCTGCAGGAGTCATCGCTTAGTCCAGTCGTCCTTAACATCTGTGGAAGAGCAGGAGCAGCATATTGCTATTTTGGAGCGGATAGTTAGCTGGGAAATGTTGAAAGTATCCATACAGATAAAGGGGAAGGACTGAAGTGGGTCTAGGAAGAGAAAAGATAAAAACTGCTGCTTAGAAAATTATCTGAAATAGGGATAATGTGGAGAAAAGTGATAATAATACAGACTTCAGAAGAGCAAAACAGAACAGATTAATAGATGGGCGTCTGTATTTCAGTGTAATAGACAAAAATCACTTTGGGTTTATATATGCAGAATTAATGAACCAGGAAAGAAAGAAAGAAAAGTGAGAGAGAATACAATATGCATACATACACCCTCCAAATTTCCTTTGCCTGGTAAGTCTGATAACTTTTCTTGTAACTCAGTAGGGAGTTACAGAGACGACATCTATCAGGGGAAGACCTCTGCTTTGGAACTGGTCGTCTAAGAAGGTGTGTGAACTTTAAGTCTGACAAAACATTATGGTTTATGCCCCAACAAGGAGTGTCCCATAGTTCTCTGGCTCTGAATGCTTTCCCTTCCTTTACAGTCTTTATTATTTTCCTGCATTTAGCATCCAAATAGGATCCTTCACTATTCATTGGGGGAACTGAATCCAGGAATGTTTGGCAAATGCTGTTTATCTGTGATTTAAATATATGAAGAATAGATGTGAAGTGCTAGCTTCACATTTCTGCTAGCTTTTGGGTTTCTAGATTTAAGATGAAGTCAGTACACTTGTTTATCCACTTCTTAATAAGATTACTTGTAATCACAAACCAATTGTGCATGAATTTTTACTGATCTCCAGAGCAGCTGCATCCTGCAGGATATACAGGCTGGTTTAGCTTTGCTTTTGAAAGGGGGAAAAAGGAAGGGGAAAAAACAATCTTTGTACTAAGTTATAGCTCTTCCATCAAAGTAAACTGAGGCCTTTTTTCATCTCCTCTTACGTACTCCAGTTCCTTACTAGTCCAATTTGTCCCAATGTGAATGTTCCTCTCTTTTATTCACTGTGTTGGGATAACAGCAGCAAAGTGAGCAACCACCTTTTGCCCAACAGAACTCAAAATGCTCTTTTGTAGTCCCATCACCCTTTTTAAAATCTAACACCTGAAATAGGGCCAAGGTTTCCTGTTAGCTTGCCTGCAGAGTACCATGTTTAATAAGGCAAACATTGCTTCCAGTTGCAGTGTTTTGGCATCAGGCGTGGAACAACGCATGGGTAGGAGATGGACACAAAATCGATACCCTCAGAAAATGCCTCCGAAGGCCCGTCAGGTGCACTTAAACTACGGAGGGAAATTGCTGAACGGCGTGCGGACTTCTGCTTAACAGTCAAAAATGTCATGGATTTAGAGAAGGACAATTTTTTTCTGAGAAGGTAAGGAAAAGTTTTACTTGCGTGAAAGCCTAATAACGGGGATAATTGCCATTCCCCTTTCAGAATATTTAGATGTTTAGAAATTGTTACACTATTAAGTTTTATAATTAAGCAAACTATGTGCGTTTCAACTACAATTTTGCCATGTAATATTGTTCATTTTGTTCAGTTATGAAAATCTGGATTACTAAGATAAAAGAGAAATATTGCTGAAATGAATGAAAAAAAAAATTCTATTGCCATCAATATTTTTAAAAATAGTTGAAGAAAAAGCCCCACAAAATTAAGTGGTTTTCTCACAGATCCTTGCATTTTTGCATGAACATCCTAAATGAATCCTTATTATATATGAGTTTGTTGTGTGATTCAGTAAATGATAAAATTACCTTCAATGGTATTTTTTTACAGGCAGCTGCTTCACATGCATTTCCGTTAGAAAGAACAAAGTGTTCAGGATTAAGATGAGAGTGCTCTTTAGTAGCCTCAATAGCTGGCTCATTCAACTCTTCAAACTGTCAATATGCCAGATATTTCTATGTAGTGTTCCCATTAAACAGTTTAATCAAGAAAAACTACTGTAATAGCACCAAATTGGGCATATAATTAAAACAGCAAAATTTCATATTTTCTCTTTCATGTAAATGTACTAATTCTCTAATAAATTTCATAAAGTTGACTCATAATTCTGCTTTGGCATTCTGACAGAAGAACAGAATTCTTTGCAAGTGTTTGCTTAATTTCCATTTTTCAAACCTAATTTCAATTTTTATTGCTTCATTTCGAATATACTGATTAAAGTAATATTAAGTCTTGCGAAGCTTTGCCAAAGAAAACGAAAGAATGAAATTATGTATATTTAATTAGCTACAGTTCTTATTTAGGAACAACTTATTCTTTCTCTTTTAAGATTGATTTTTTTTATCAAGTAAACTTTAAATCACTTATAACTCATTAGAGAACCCTGTGAGAAATACGGGGCGCAAGGGGGTCAAAACAACACTTTCATATTTAAAACCTGTTCATTTAAACAAGTTGATATGTATAATTTAAAGAAAATTCAGAAAGATATTTTATAAAATAGAAGCCCTCTATCCTCCTCAAATCTCTGCAAAATCTATATTTTGATCTTATACCACTCCAGTGTTGGCTTCAACATTGCTACTTCCAGATAACAGGTTTCTGGAGAAACAAAGAATAAAATATGGCAACATATGGAAAAAAGTTTATAAGAAAAAAATAAATTAGTAGAATTAAACATCTAAAATTAATGAGCATTCATTTAACTTTAAAATACATTTTTAGGTATGGTTTCTATGTAAACAAGCAGGTATTATGGTTGTTTATTGGGGAGAGGGGCGTGTTTTCATGTTTTCTGGCTTGAAGTAGCCTTCAAAATGCTTAAGTGGGTAAGTAGTATTCCTCCTTATTTAAAACTGGTTTTGTTGCCATGGTCAAATGTTTTGTTGAATTGGGATTATGTTCAGCACCTTCACAAAGAAGTCTTCAATGATAAGGCTACATTAAATGATGTCATGTGTCACCTTGCAGCATTAACAGTGAACAATAAATCAGTTAATCAAACGTAAGTGTGGCAAAACTAATTTTCAGTTGAAAACTAAAATTAATTTCTATCAGAAAGAAAAAAAATTAGAATTTACAATTTAGCATCATACATATACAGGACTAAAGGCATGAACATAGTATGCCCTTGTTTATAGAAGCTAAGATTGAAAAGTACAATCTTAAAATCTCTAAAAGTTGAAATTGTAAGGTCCCTTCTACAATAGCTTTCCCTTAATTCTCTAGAGAAGAATACGAAACTTAAACTGCCCTCTTTTCCCCAGATCTGGGAAACTTGTTCCAGTGGAGCACTCCAGAAAAGTCAGTATATTTCCACTTACAAGCAACCTTCATAAAAGAAAAAAATTCAGGGGTAAAAGCAAAACACATTTAAAAAACCACTTGGCAAAACTGAATAATCTACCAAAGCTGAGAATGAGAATACTTTGAAACCACTTCTGCTATAATTGTACTGCTATAATTGTACTTCATCTACTGATGAAGTAGTAATTCCCTTCTTGTCCTGGGCAAACTCTTATAGTTTTTTGCCCAAGCCTCCCAAAAAATCTAGTTGTCAGAGAGTCAGTCACTTAAACTCCAGCCACACAACCACCGAATTATGTTTTCTGTCATACAGATAAATCCTCCAGATCACAAGTAATAGATAAAGGCAGCTCAGAAGAATCAAACCACTAGAAAGATCAACCTCTTATTCTTGAAGTTATGCGTGATTTCTTCTTGCCACAGCTTCTTTTACATTTTTCAGCATTTTAGCTAGAATTGAACCCTTAAGTAAGGGGTTCTCTTTTCTTTCCCTCTCTTCATTCCTTTTTTCTCTCTCTCCTCTTCCTCCTTTATGGCTCCTTCTTTTCACTGTGGGAGGCTGCATTCAAGATGACACACGGCATGTCAATCAACTTGGACATCACGTTCAACTATTCCAATATGAAAAGTACCATCATATTCATCCTAATATCAGACTTTAACAACTTTACATTGTAAATATATCCACAAAACTGGTCTGTAATACACAAGCAGGTTCAGCACGGCCCACGCCTGCAGTTTCTTGGTGCCAAAAGATAGCAGCAGGAAGTTATTTCTTTAGTAGGACCCCATACACCCGGGGAGCTCTGGGTTACTCTTACGACTTCCCCCGGCTGTCAAAAAAAATATTCCTATCTCTTAAGATTTGGCCACAGACTTTTACTTACAACAATGAAAGTCCTGTATGGTATGTCTAGTGTTGTACAGCTTTCCTGGTCATCCATGATTTGTTAAGCTCTTTTAGTTTCAAAATATAATAGTAACCACAGGAGCAAGGAAGAATAGCTTCTGGGTACAAATCGCTACAACACTTTAAAATTCTGTGGTTTTCCCAGTCAATTAGATTTTGAAGTACCACTGAGAGAATAGTCTGTTTTCTGTATTCTACTGTTGGAAATGTTTCTCATGGTATATGCCAGATAAAGTATATATTGCCTTATAATAAAATTTGGGTTTATTTAGCACATGTTTAATGAGTGCCTCAACCGACTAATTAGAACAAGTAACCCAGAGGTCCATTATAAACTGCTAAAAGGACAGATATGCTGTCCCTAGGAAAAGAAATATGACTGCCTTTATTTATTATTAATCATTACTATAGTTAACCAATTAACAAATCACTTTATCCTTTCAGGCTTATCAGGATAGGCATATTTCTATGTTAATTATTATCACTAAGTTATTAATGGTATAGAATAAAAGAATTAAACATTTTATGTTACTTTGCTCTAAGCAAACAATAGCCCTTAAGGTTTGGAACCTCCAACCCCCTAAATAAATTATTTAAATAGTAAAGTAATTCATTTCCTAAATGCTATAACCATCTTTACGCTGCATGCCCATTTTTCTAGGTAAATGGGTAAGTATACTGCGTTTAGGCAGAAGATTCTCAGTCTTCGCAGTAAGGACTGTGGCTTTTAGAGTACATGGAGCAGACTGGCTTTGATGCAGAGCCAGCGGTGGCACTGCTCTCTGGTTATTCCATCTGCCTGCCAGAGTCCCACTGTCAACTCTGAGTTTTGTGTGAAGAGATTCAACGAAACATTTCACGCGTATCTCTAAAATAACTCCTGTACTGGCTAGGGGAGTAAGATGTGTCCTATTTTGTTCGCTTTGCGTAGAGTAGTTCACTCTCTTGAGAGCAAATATTTTAGTTCTTGTTTCTCTGATTATCGTGTCAAGGTTTTCAGTGGAGCAAGAACTGGACTTGTGGCTCTTTGTCTTAAGGGGCGGGGGGGTACCCATTGCCCTTGGCTAAGGAATTGCTCTCAAGTTTAGTCTTTTTTTGGTGCACTGAATATTTAATTAGTTATTGCAAAGTGGAACAGCTTTCAGGCTGAAATGGGAGGGGGAAAATATTTTCCTCCCTCATGAATATCTTATGGGATATTCTCCTGGAAGGTAAGAATTCAGATCTTCTCAAGCAGAGAAGAGAGTGAACCCGGGTCTCTTACACTCAAGCTCAGGGCATAGGCTTGGAATTAAATTAACTAGAAAGCCGCCTAGTTCTAAATGGGTCAGCCTGTGTATGCGTAAAAATAGTCCAGGTAAGTTAAGTCACCTTGATTTTCCTGCAATAGGCAGGCGCCCTGTGAATCCTAACTAGGGCGAGGATCCATATTTGAGGCACAGTTTTCCACCATCACAATCTCTAATTGTTCCCTTAAGCATATGCACCAAGTTTTTGTGAATCCTACTGTGATCCCACTGTTAGAGATTTAATTCTTCTCCTGCAACGTGTAAGAAACCTCCAAGCCAAAGCAAGGACGGAGACTTGACTAGGTAGCTAGGCACCAGGAAGCAGTTGTTTTCCCTAAATTTTAAGCATGTGTGAACCCTTACTGGAGCAAACACATAGAGATATCATGGTCCTCAGGTAAACCAAAGGCAGTGCCCTAGATGCCTGGCTTTCTCAATAGTATCCTAGCCTGACAGACATTGTCAAAAGGGAAGTTTAGGGGGTGAGTGAATTATCTTAAAATGTATGCTTGACTGGCTGTAAGCCCTATGAGAACCCCAAGGTTATACTTGGTATCAGGTTTAGCTTCAATACTAGCTTCTTTTAATGTCACTTTAAAAGATGTTATCTATGTCTGAAATGCTTACCCATCCAAGATGCATGGAAAATAGAAATCACAAAGTGTTTCTCAATAACTTCCCACCTAGCTATTACCTTCTGCTGCTGAAAATCATCAGACCTTGATAGATAGCTTGGGTGTTCCATCACTTCTCTTTGTTAAATATTTGAACGCCTGGCAGGTTTCCTCTTTTCATGTTCATGTACCAAGTGAAAGATAAAATAGAAATAATGACAATTTTTTTGTTACGTGATAATTGTGTCAGTTTTAGGTTAATTCTCCCATTGTGACTATGTTCCTCCTAAACATACTTTTATCTTTCAGTCAGCAAGTACATTTTGGGATCCCATTTACAATAAGGTCTCCAAACAGAAGATTTATCTGAGAAAACGTTCTAGCAGCTCCGAATTATGGCAGTTGTTAATGAGGTAAATAAACAAATATTTCTGTAAATTGATGCTGGATGCTTTCTTTATGATATCTGAGAATTCCCTGACTCTCACTAAAACCACTTTTCCTTGTGAATACCCTGTATAATTTGCAGTTTTTGTTGTTTTCCAACCTAAATTTAAGCAATGATACAAAGCTTTTGTTGTCAAAGTTATTTGCATTTTACAGGGCATCTATACTATATTTTTGCTACAAAGACATAATAGAAAATATGTGAGGGAGAAAGGAAAATGGAGGGGGATGAGGTTGATTTCTGTTTGGCACTTTCACTTCTTATATTTAATTGATAAAACCTGCCAAATTTGATTTTAGAGTCTGCACATACAGCATATATCAGAAGTGCTAGTACATTTTCAGAAAGGAAAATCAAGACAATAATTCAATGTGAGAAGCTCATTCTTAACTGATAGATTAGTTGAGGTTTCTCGGCTCACTGTACGTTGTAAGAGCAACATAGAAGATGCTGTTACTAACCATGGGAAAGGGTTCATCTTAAGAGAAGAATTTGTTAGTTGAGGAATGTTACCTTCATAATATACTTTCTACCCAAAAGGTCAGAAATACCTGAAGCCATGTATTAATTCTGTACTCTTCGGACAAGGGCCACAAAAGGAGCACTTTAGAATAAAAACCAAATTGGAATAGAGTTTGAGAAGCTCTAGTGTCCTGCCAAAAGGTAGAATCAGCTGTACCTGTCTCTGTGTGGACAGATGTTAGTCTAATCTGTTCTTTAAAAACGCTTACGATCAACAGGAATTCCACAGCCTCCTTGAGTAATTCACCTGAGACCTTAGTTGTTTGACCTGTAGAAAAGTTTTGTCTGTCTTAATATCTAACACAGTATAGATAGCTATTAGCACCAGTTTTATACATCTAAAAGTTTAAATCTTAAAAAAAGTCCTTAACATTTTCATTAAACTGACTTCATTATTCTTTTCTTTTTGTTAGAGAAAGAAAAGTTCAAATAGATTAACTGATACAGCTGAGGTCACCACTGAAAGTCTATAAAGAAAAAGCTGGGTTGAGTGATCCATTTCAAGCTTGTTTCAAGGTAGTTTAAGGCAAAAGCCTTTTTCAAGCTCCCCTCACTTTTTCAGTTGTATAAAATTCTACAGTACAAAGATAAGCTATCTTTCTACACTCCTCATGTAATCAATCTGTGTTGTTAATAGCTCGCCAGTGAGATATGTCTGCGTCATCAACCCTTTTGATGGACAGCTTTTTATCAGTAAGTTGCAGAAGCTATATAGTAACAAATTCCAAACTTTCTTTTTTATAGAACAAAAATGTATTTATTCAGCCAGAGCTGTGCACCAAAAAAATTAGAGGTATGTACCGTTTCTTAGAACCCACTTAAACTGATGCATTTGCCAAAATTTCAATGTTGTTATTATTTCTATTTATTCAAATTAATTATTTTTTTTACCTCCCAGTGAGTTCTCTCTCTCTCCTCTCTCCCTCCTCCTCTCTCTTCTTTTTACAAAAGACAATTCTGAGCAAATCAACAGCTAATGGCATTGCCTATAGAGCTTGGAGTAGTTCTGTGAGAGCACCTTGCTTTGGCAGTGAAGCTTATTCTTCAACTGGATACACAATCGCTGCTTTATCAAGCCAAAACTTCCAATTATCCCAAAATTTTCCACTATGAGGACTGAACAGAATCTTGTCCAGGGCAGATTAAGTTATGAGATCACAATTCTCTAAGCTATCTGGTGGATGAAGTGGTATCTTTAGCCATAATGGTCGTTATCCATCTATAGAAAATATTAAAGTATGTTTTTGGAAAATTTACAAATGTTGCTGGCAAGTGAGAAAGAGAGGGGGGAAAAAAGCTAGTGATCTTTTCACTGATTATGTGTAATTTTTATCTGAACGACAGTTGGGAAGAGAAAGAAGCTGGGCAAACCCCAATCCTTGCTGTGAGACTGCGGAGGGGAGAAGCAAACGTCTAGCAGGTAAGAAATCTGTTCAGATTTCCTGAAGCTCATGACCAAAGGGCAGATGTAGGGACTAACAGCTCTTTTCTGAACTGGCTCTAACCTTTAAAAATAGTTCAGTCTGTGTATGCATAAATCATAGTTCTGGTTTATCCGTGAGTTTTATTTTTAGCTTCCTTACCCATGCTTTTGCTGATTTTCATCAAGTGGCTTGCAGGATATATATCACCCTCCTACCTGTTGTGTCCCTGCCTGAGGCTTTTTCACCTCTCCCCTACCTCCAGATGCTTCAAAGGGTGCATCAGAGTGTGACGGCGAGGAGGTCTCTGGCAGCGCCGTGGGGACAGCACTTCAGAAGTCTTGTTCCTTTCACTGCTGCGGCGGCTGGCTGGGAGCAGAGTAGCTGGGTGGGTGGAGGAGGGAAATGGAGCAGCAAAGTGAAATTAGCAAACGCTGAAGCTCCGGAGCCCACATTAGTGTCACTCTGCTGCTCCTAGCAGCTAGAAGCCGAGCAGCAGAGGTCAGAGTGGGACCTGGTGAGTCTCTGTGCGTGCCCAGTGTGACGGCCAGCATCCGTCTGCACTGCACACCTCCACCTCCAAAGAGGGGAGCAAGCTCGGGTGCTGCTCTTGCTCCGTGTTTCATACCCAAATATTGTCTCCCCACCCCGAGATACCTGAAGAGTGTTGATAAGGGATGGACAACACACTAATTTTTGATTAATTTTTGTTATTTAGCCTTGGAAATTAAGAAATCTTTTTGTATAATTACCCCCAGGAATGCTAAAAACTTTCTGGAGTATAGACTATCTTTGGCTCTAGGTATTACATAGTAATTAGTTACTTGCTAATACTTAGAAGATATTGCAGTTAAAATAAGGTTATTTACTAGAAGTGCAATAAAAGTTCGTCAGAGATATATTGAGTAATTTAGTGAACAGTTTGGTAGACTTCTTTGTTTCACCGTGGGCTTAATTATTTTATCTGACAGTTTAAGTAAACACTTGATCATACCCACTTACACATTGCTCATCTTGAAGGTGATAAATATGGTATTACACCTCAATAAATATCAGAGAAACTGTATACAAAATTTCAGATTTGCAGAATCTGAATTCTGTGACCTCTAAGCGTTCTGCTACATTAAAGATGATTTCAAAATTCTTAGCACAGATTGTATCTTTTATAAGAAAGATCAAAATCTACTTCCAAGCAACAAATTTGCAATGCAAGTATACCAGATCCCTGCAGCATTGACTTTTAAGGACTAAGTGTTGATTTGCCATAAGACTTCTTTTTCATTGAAGTTTGAAGAGGTGGGGAGATGTTCTCAGTGCTGGTTATCAGATGTGTGTTTGATAGATGATTGCTAGTTACCAGATGTGTATGGAAAAAGCTATAAGCTTTTCTGTAACATTTTTAGGTGCTTCAAGTATTTCAATTAAACTCTACTGCAATGCAAATACAAGGTGAGCTTTGCAGTATCACTTAAGACTATGGTCACAGCAGGGTTGTAGAAATTTCAAAGGAGATCATAAAGAGCTAGAAAAACAATAATTCTTTACTGTTCATTATTTAATTTACTTATAAAACGGGGATAAATAATAAAGAAATTATAAGAAAGGTATTGAAATTGAGTTGAGATGTAAGATGAGAAGCAGGAGTAATTACTACTAAATTATTTCCTCTAGTCAGAAAACACACGATTTTTTAATGACTGGCAGCAGCTCAGTTCCTTCAAGGCAAAAGAAGGAATGAGGAAATACTTTTACTTTTGCTCATAGTGATTATACATGCCGAAGGAAAAGAGAAAGTATATTATGCAGAGGGTGACTGAGTACTGAAATTTAGTCTTTATTTGCTCTGATTTGCTTTCTCCGCAAGACAAAATAAGAAAAACAGTTTTATCTTTAATATCGAGAATTATACAACCAAAGCTTTCCAGCTTTCTGTGGAATTCAGCCTCTTTAGTGGCAATATCATGATAAAATAAATCTCTGGCTTTTCCTGAAATTATGTTATTGCTTTTTATGTACTCTGTTATATGCTATATCAGAAACATCTCATGCTGAATGTTACTCTTAATAGCCATTTCCAAAAGGCTTTTTTTTTGTATGTCATGTTTAATAATAAAAGTTTTGATTGAGTTTGCTGCAGTTTATTTTCAGAATGACTTTCAAATGCACTGCTTGTCTGCACGCTGAAGTGAAAATGTAAGCAATACTAGTGACAAGCATATTTTGCTTTTTTGCAGATTTCAGACACTTTCTAAGGTCGTGTGGGTATTGCTGGCCAAGCATCAGTAGTTTATTCGTTGCCTGATTACAAGTGGAATTGTAAATGGAATGAAATAAGATGGATATGGAGGATTACCAACTGCTGTTGGCATACAACGGCATGCTTAAAGATGTCTTCATTCATTAACAGGCTATTTTAGCCTGCCAAGGTTGAAAATGAAATGCAAGTCACAGCTTGTACATTTATCACTGTAAGGAAAGCATCCTGCCAGTACTGGTTAGGCAAAGTGTACTTGTAGCCATTAGTAGTCCAGTCTGATTATCGGGCTCAATCTGTTTCTAATGGCAACCTTTGCAGTGACAGCATTGTTTCCATCTGTGCTCACATGAGAGATTCGAAATCTTAGCGTTTAAAGTTCTGAAATAACCTTACAGACACAATTATTTCCTTTCTTAGGGATTGTTCCAGCTGGTGTTCGGCAACCCGGTGTACCTGCAACAAGCAAGCTGGCCCCTACCTTCTGCTTAGCAAGCCAACTAATAGTTAGCCAGCATTGCCTCCAATTACAACAGGTACTGTGGCTTGATATCTGAGGTTTGTTCTCTTAAACTACCTGCAGCTCTCCCGCCCAGCACTCCAGTGAATGACAGCACTGCTGCTCCTTCTCACAGAGAGATGGTAAGTGCTTGTTAACAAACCTAAAGTGAAAATTGCTTGCAATTGTTATATGTCAGGAGGAAAGTGAGATACGGGGGTAGGTGGAGGGAGGGAGGGAGGGCAATAGGGAAAAGTAGGAAGATGCAGGGGCAGTGGTGGGAATGTGCTGGCTGGCCTTGGAAAAAATATGGGACAATGAATGGGTAAAGAAGCTGTTGCATATAACCTGATGTTTTTATTGAGTTTTCACTTTTACTGCTACATTATACCTTGTACAACAAATTTTGATCACATACGTGTCATGCCATACATTATTTCAGCTCTGCTAAATCAAACTGTTTATAAACTTTTTTTCTTTGTAGTACAAGTAAATATTTCTCCTTTAGTGAATAATTGTTTTGAGTCCCAAAAAGCTGCATTATGAAGTGCGTGTATCTATGTATTTTCTTCTGTTTTAAATATACCTGTCAGATGTAGTAGAACTTTTGTTTTCCGAAGGGCCTTTTTGTAGTTACCTTGGAAGTCAGGAATGATAGGCAAACCATCAATCAATCAATCAATCAATCATTTAAGTATAGGCATAATAATGCAAAAAGATAAGAGGAAGGTGCCAGCTCTTTTTCATTTCTTACCAAAATAAAATATGCCTAACTTTGGAACCAATGTATTATTTAAAAGTTATGGTTTTCTCCTTCATCTTGAATAGGCCATGGTAAATTTAAAAGTAGAATTCTTCCTCATTGAAGTTTTATTGCACTGTAGAAGAAACAGCTATGCCAGTTTAAGATGTTACTGACTCCTGGCTGCCCAGTACCTCTACTGTAATTTATTGATCTTCCAACACAACTGGAGAAACAAATTCATATATTCTTAAGAGAAAACCTGGCAGTAAGAGCATGTGTTGTGCTAAGCTCACCTGGCTGGCTTGGCTGGGATGGATGGGCATTATGGTGACCTCCAGGAAAAGCAAAAAGTCAGACTGGTCCTAAACTGGCATTTCTGCCCCGAGCATCCAACAGCAGCTCGAGCACAGGGAACCTTAGTTGGTACCTTTGTCCCAGAATGGGGACTGACGTGGCAACCCTTTTCTGTTCTTGAGTGGGAAAAGTGAATCATGAGGATGATGGCAAGTGTCTGAGTATCTGTATAAATGGATGGTGACCATTTAAATATTTGTCAGTATGAAAGAGTAAGTGAGGGTGCCTATGTGCAAGTTAAAGTGAAAGTGTATGTTGAAAGGTTAAAAAGCAAATCTTAATGTAGGATAAAGAGTGCTTTCCACAAAGCCGTAGGAGAAATGTAGCTAACTGAAAGAAAAAGCAAACAAGGAGATGGAAGGGAAGGCACAGCACTGAGGACACAAAGTCAAGAGAACAAAAACAAAAGAAAGAAAATCAAGTACTGTTGGAAGGAAATAAAAATGTTTTCATAGCTCTGACCGTAACCAGATGATATGTTAAATAAAATAACTCTAAGAAATAGAAAGGTCTGGATAAACACACTATATGTTCCTAAACATCTTTCTTTCTTAATCTTTGAGTAATATCAGACAAATTGTGCCATTTGAAAAAAAAACCAAACAAACAACAACGCACCAAAAAACCAAACTGAATGACAGGGACTGTATCAAACAACTTAACCTCAACCTGTTTCAAAGTCTGACTGTATAACTTTATCCAAGTTTCATGAATAACTAATAAACTGAAGCAGAGGCTAAAAGCTTTTGATGTGGAGACTCCAAATATCTGAGAATTGGGTTCATTAAAAGAAAAACCAATGAGGCAAAGCTTAAAGTATCTGATTTATCCAACTTCTTCCAAGATTTGTCAGTTACTACTGTGCACATTGCATTTCTGTGATAGTAATTTAGCGCAAGTCCCTTCTCCGTAACCAAAATTCAGCTTCCTTGACTGGAATTGAGATAAAAATGGGCAGAAGAAAGCAATCCTATCTTCCAGGGTTTAAAGAATAGTAGGAGAAATTCACATAAAATAAGGGCTCATTCTCTGGAGGTGAGGGTGAGATATTAAATTATTAATATCTTTCAATATATTAAAGGCCAATGGGATGTTTTGAACAAATAAACATAATTTAATTCTTAATGAATTATCAAAAAACCCCTCCCAAATGACTAGAAGCAAAAATTGAGTTACTACAATTTAATTTTAGCTTAATTCTGTCGCAAGCAATCTTAATATCTGAAAAATGAATTGAAACCGTGTTAACTGTCTGGTTAGTGAGCAGTGTAATAATTAAGCTGCAATAAACAGGAAACTAGGTCAAAGAGCTCAGGTATATTACAACAGACCAAGGTTTAAAATATCCAAAATTAATGTTATATGGGAAATAACTGAACAGTCATTATTTCATTCTTATGCAAATCTACCAAGACTGAGGCAGAAGCAATGTCTGGAGAAGTTAAAAGGGAATGCGGAGAACTCTGCATCCTGAGATGTGTATAGAACAGCTGGTTGGACATAATGCATTTCTCAAGGTAAAACAAACGCTGAAATAAGGACACTTCAGTTATTCTTTTTCTGTCCCAAAGTCAGTTCCACATGCTGTAGTTTTGATGAAAGTACACTGGAGAGAAGGAACATGGAGGCGAGTTTCTGATTTGATTATAGTTAGGCACAGTTTAAAACAAAGATGTGAAATCCTCAAAGGTTGCAAGAAAAAAAGCACAGACACGACAAGAACCATAAAGAAGTGGGGGGGAGCGAGGGGGCTGCTCCCCAAGGCTGAGGGTCAGTTTGTTGCTGGGAGGGTGGCTGCCAGCCCAGGGGGAGCATATCAAAATATCCTGGTATCACACTCCTGCCACCCCGCTGTGGTGTGTTTTAGCAGAACACACCCATTTTAAGGGCAGTCATGCTTTTGAGTCTGCACATGCAGTAAAAGCGATCATCCAAAGCCATCCAAAGACTTATGGGTAAAGTTTCTGTCGTGAGGATGAATTAATCTCACCGAAGCTTAGCTGCCTGCGCTGCAGACATCACAGCTGAGCTTGTCATCCTCAAATTAATTTATATTCAATTAAGACTTTTTTAGGGTGCAGAGCATCTGACTGATTTTAGATATCTATTTTAAGCTGTGCTGAATATTACCTTAAATATGCTGCTTTTTTTTTTCTTTTTTTTTTCTCATGTACTCATATGGGAAGTTTAACAGAGTAGCTGAAAGGCCATAACACTCATGGCAGGTCTCTCTGGTCACATGAATATTTTTCTCTGTGCCTCCGTTATGTGCTGATATGAACATTTTTAAAGAAGATAAAATTGAATTTTCTTCAGAAATATTTTTGGGGTGTATGTGGTGAAAGTGCTACTGAAGACACTGTCATAAAGACTGGAAGAGTGTTGTCAATGGTGTGTCTATGTCCAAAGTGTCTATGGACCTGAGACACTTGTAGTAGGAGTTCATTCTCTCAACAACACTCTGCATCACAGTCACATCTGAAAGTACGTACAAACATCTATGACTCAGTTAAACACTACTCGGAAGTCAGTCAGTAGAAAAATTATTTCATATTCATATGGGGCTTTTTTGTTTTATTTTCCCTCCTCCTGCAACAACAGTTGGTTAACATTTTCCTCCTCGTCAAAATAACCCAGAGAAAAAAAAAACCACAGTGTTCTGAATTAGCATAATAGCAGCTTTGGCACATTTATTGATAGATGCAGAAATCAAACAATTAAAAAGCTAATAAGAAAAAAAAAAAACCAAACCCATGCTCATGTCTCTTTGGTATACTTGTACCAACATCACAAACGTGCTCAAAAATGAATGTAAAGAGGGTTAAAGTAGAAACATAAACTCAGCTATATTCAAATTAATTTGAAAGCATGAAATAATCGCTGTTGAAAATTACGCTATTAAAAAAATTCAATTAAGATTTGTGACTCACTTCAGTTTTGATTTTATCCCTTCTGCTCTAGAAAATTACGAACTGCGTATCAAGTGCCCGGTGGGGTTTGGGAGGCAATGACGAACATACATTTCAAAACATTTTTTTTTTATTAAGACAGTACTGACTATGAAAAACGGGATTAAAATCCCTCACTGAATTTCTTACATATTGCACCACTATTGCAGCTGACCTGGTTTTCTTCCATGTAGAATGTTTTGATGTTTGTGATTTGTTTTACAATGTTTTAAGAAGGAAATGTTATTGATTACTTTTCAGGAACTCCATTTTGTGGGTTTTTCCATTTAAGATACATTTTGAGTAAAATATTTATTTCGAAAACAGCAGCAGCAGCATGTTTCTAACTTGCCCATTTTTACTGTGTTTTCTAGTGTCGGCCAGAGTAGAAAATCCAGAACTCTTGAACCTCTCTATCTGACATCTACACAAACTGTTCAGCAGTGGGAGACAGGCAGCCATACCTATTCCCAGCAGTTACAGCACCAAAAAAGCAGTTGCTTTTTTGGCACCTTCTCTCACGATCAGCTGAGCTTAAGAAAAACTAAAGAAAAAATCATAAAAAAGTTGGTTGGAAGGAGCCTCAACCTGATGCTTGGACCAGGACTGACAGCAGGAGTAACTCAAGGCAGCCTATTGTATGCAAATAGCCATTAACCATGGATCCTCAAAGCCAGACTTATTTTCATTGCGGATTTTCAACCCTGCTACAGGTAAGGCTCTTGCAAATTAAATGTATAAAGACAAACCTGGTATAGATAATACAAGAATGTGACTTGTAGCTGGTGCCACTTATTACTGGTATTGCTGCTGTGTTCCCAGTCCTAAACACCAGGATACAGACCTGAACCAGAGGAAGAGGAAGGCAGCATATTGTAATTCATTAGCAATCCCTTAATTTTGCCAGTGGGATTCTCAGTACTCTCACAATTTTTCAAAAATAGTATGTTCTCTCACTTTCTCTACCAAAACCAAAATACGTTATGAGGTCAAATTTTCTAAATTTTATAAACAGATGCTATTGCTTGTATGCGATTTTACCTCTCACCAAGTACTTCTGGGAAAACAAAATAGGGAAGTGATTTTATTTTTCCATAATGAATGTTAACTTTGTTTTGAGCATATTTTTTTATCCCACAGATGTGAATTTCAGATCATACAGTTTGTTCTGTGTATACACATGAATTTACATTTACATTGGAATATAACGGATCATAGTTAAGTAATTTTTTGCAGGAAGGTGAAAATAATCATGTGGAAAAATGATGAGCTATTTAAAAACTATTCATATACTCTGAGGAAAAATACCTAGAAACAAGCAAACGTATTTATATATTCATACATATTTATATATATTTATATAATCTTTTCATTAATTCTCCTAATTTAATTGAAGATTATTATCGATAATATAAGCAAATCCAAAACAAATGATATTTGATCTTAAATATTAGTTTATAGCTTTGTGTTCAAAAGATTACTTCTATGACTTTCGTTTTCTGATTCACTGTTAAGACTCAGTTCTAAATGAGTCCCTTTCTTCCAAGAACCCGTGTGAGCTCAAATATTGTTATCCAGAGATACTGTCTTTACAATTAATAATGTATGGAATTAATCCTTGAATATAAGAAGAAATGGTAGATTCTGAATTTGACTATTTTTTCCTCTAAAAATCAGGTAGAAATGCAATCTGGTTTTCTTCCCACCATCAAAGAGGCGGTTAGCTGAGTACTGATCTTATTTCCATGAGCATTGTGCCAGTGTCAATGACGATACTCTTCTGTTACTGTGGAACTAGTGAGAAGAAAATTAGGCCAATTTCTGCACACAGACAGCAATGAAGGAACCATTTGGGAATACCACATCTAAATTTAATAAATCTATGCCACATATGGCTCTGCAATTGAGACTGATCTCATATAAGTTCTATGTCTAAATGACATCAGCATCTGACCTACTAATTCTAGATTTGGGGAAAAAAAAAAAAGACTTTGGACTTGTGAGAGCAAACCCTGAAACAATAAGAGTGTGAAACAGTTTTGTGGTTGTGGTATTTCCAAAACACCTCCTCTGCCACTAATAGTAGGAAAATAATTTTTATATATGGAGCTTCTATATTTATAGATTAAGATCCCTGTATGTAGAAGGGGGAGAAAGGAAGCAAAAGCAAGAACAGCATAAAATAAACCAGAATTTTACTACCTAATGCAGCCTTAGGTTCTTAACAAAACCTCTGACAGGTGTGAGAAATGACAACGCAGTACTAGTCAGGTGCTAGATGACCTTTTTTATATATAATGACTTTTAGGGCTCATGTCACCTTGGAGTTAACCTCTCCATTAGATGATCTAACCCAGACAAGTTATTTAGCTTCCATTATAGCCAACAGAGGAAGACATGTGCTTGGAGAAGGCAGTTTCATCTTAACCACATTAGGGCACAGAAAAATGTGGTCACAGCAGTAGTGAAGCAGAGGAGGAGGGTACAATCCTAACAGGAAAGTGAGACGACCAGCCACAGGAAGAATGCACAGAAAATGGTTGCATTATGATAATGGTGTGATATTGATTTTACAGCATCCTGCAAAGGGATCTCAGGAAGATTTGGAGCAGAAGGTTGTCATATGTGTTCCTGCTCCAACATCAATTTTATCATTAGTTTTGAAAGGCAACTTCACACAAAGTAGTAAACATCATCTTCGTATAATTCTGAGCATAATGGAAATACAAAACGTGCTGCAAAATTAATGTAGATGTAATGAAATCACTGAAGACACTCTCTTGTGGTATATCAGGACAACTTCAGAGGTGCCAGTTGGCTTATATAGACAAGGCTAGGCACAATTTAGCCTGACTACTTCAGTTTATCAGTATTAATGTACAAAAAGCACTGTTTGTTGTGGGGATTAGTTGTTGTCTCATTTCACCTCGCGTTCTGAATAATAAATGGTTATGCATGTTGCCTTCAATTTAATTTGTCATATAAATTCTATATAATTCAGTTATTAAGATAAGATAATATGTGACAATATTTATGTAACAGTATCCTCCCAATCACTCAACTGCTTCTAAGTGCTAAGGGCCAATTAGATGATTTTTGCCTCTGAGATCTGGTAATCATTTGTTGACAGATATTAAAAGATTCATCTAAACGCATTCAACTGTCTTCTCCCACGAAAGAAATATTACTTCCCTTTTCTTGTTTTCTTTTTTTTAAATGAATGTAGTGGTTAATTAAAGCTCAAGAAGTTTACGGCACCCAACATTTGAATTGCACTACACTTCAGAACTATGAGCACTTAATTTATAGTGCACTTTTTAAATTAATTGCAAGCCCTACCGTTGAGGTGGTATTATTCTCCATGAGGAGAAGATTTTGCTATCCAGCTGCTTTGTGCTGCAGCCAGCACCTCTGCACTCTGGCCTACCATGAGGCACATTCATCAGAGGGAAGATCTTGCAAGTCACTTACTATGGCAAATGTCTTTTATTGACAACGTCTAGTGCTATGTAGCGTAGCATCTCCATAAAGCTGATTGTTTGCTCCTTTTCTCTGTGGCCAGCAGCACAGCATTCCTAAAGCAGGAGCAGAGGTTGTAGCTGAAGATAAAGTGTGGTGGCCTGCGTCATCCCGTCCAGTTCCAGTGCCACTAATAACTCACGTGAGTAACAGAAACACTTGGGCTCCTCTGACGAAATGTGACGAAGGAACAGAAGTGACGTGGAGAACAACGTTCATCTCTGTGATGTCCCGTCTGTGGTCCATCTGCCTCTGAATGCCACACAGCATCCTCAGCACCACTCAGGAATTTCCTGAGCTGTTGCAAAGACTTTCCTCCCAAGTCTGGTTTGCTAGACTGCAAAATTTAACTGAAGCTGGTGAGTTCCTTTTTAATTTATATAAAAGGATAAAGGGAGTCACTGCAAGTTTATGAATTGCATCTTTCGCAATCCAAGGCAGAGATTTGACCTTGAAGCTTTATACCCAGTTAGGTTTGAGACTGAGTTGGAAATATATGGGCAAAAAGTGTGCATGAATTTGCTACAGTAGTTGAAGTCTGTATTTACTACAAGCTCGTAGGCTAATTAAGTTATCATAGTTCCTTTTGCTTACTGTAATTTATAGCTTTCCTGCTAACCCAGTGAAGAGCCATCTTGTCAGCCTATCTGGGTATCCCAGAGAGCCTACAACTCTTTTTACTTTCTGACAGAGAACAGACCGGCAACATCATGAAATTCCCAACAAAATGAACCGGTCCAGCCAGTGCCAGCTGCCGACGGGCTGAGTTTGGGGCTGCGTTAACTTCCGATAACAGAAGACGTGGTCTGACAGTGAGCCAGCCACAGAACCTACCCGACGTCGTGCCAGACCTCCCACCAGCTTCTCAGCTCTGCCTTCAACATATGCTGGCTTCCCACTGGCAAGGGTGAGTGAGGTAACTCCTCCATTTGGAGGGAGAAAACTATGAGCCACCGAACTTCTGCAGCTCCTTGGATGTGTCCTCTGACAGAGTGTATCTATCAACCAGTGTCTCATGGTTAATCACACCTAGAAAACATAATGTGGCATTTAATAAGCCAGGGTAAAGAACCTTCCTTTTCAAAATGATGCATTTTTGAGAGTCTTCTTTTCGTGCGATCAGAAGGTATTCAAATATATTGCCAATATAGCAACATGAAAGAGAATTATGTGTAAACGATGCCATTCTGATTGTGTCAGGCTTGGGGTTTTTTTCAAACTAGTACTACTTCAAGAACCAAGCAACAATATATTAACAATAGGTTAAAAGATCCAAGAAATAATACAGGACTTTTATATTGTTGAGATCCATTTTTTACCAGCTTAATATACATACATATACATTCATGTAAGTATGAATGAAAGGTATTTATGCATAGGTATGACTACTGTCCCAGTTTAAATCAAGTTTCTGTTTGCTATATGTTGTTTTTATCTTCCTCCCAGAAGTGACTTAGGAAAGAAAAGGCAATGTACAACATTCTTATCTTGTGTGATTTTCCTACGTTTAGTTTTAATATTATATATTCACTTTTCAAATTAGGTACATTTATTACGTTCAGGTATTTTTCACTTCTTGCTATACATACCAGAATCTGTCCTTCACTGTCATCACCTGGCTTACGGCTTTATATTGATGTAAAGCTAACTCCAGGGAAACTTTTCCTAATTTTTTTTTAAAAAAAGGAAAGGAAAAATCAGGTTCTTTCTTGCAAATAGAAACATGTCATATTTTGTTTTCAATTTGCATCGGCACCCAGAGAGAAACTGGAGGTGAATTTAAGCCATCGCCAGCTTTTTGCATGTGTGTTCACTGGCGCATTTAACTTTCTCTGTGTAGCCACAGCTATTTGAGATGCCTCCCACATTCGCCGTAGAAGGCATACTGTTAACTAACTTCTTGTTTAAATGAAGGGCTATGCTGACAATTAAATGTAGGATCGTGCATGCTTCAGTGCCGTACCTTATTATAATCAACGTGAGTAGAAGCAGAGTGCTGAAATTATGGGTTTTAGTCTGCATCTGCATGGCATTATTATGCTTATCAAGGTGAAAATGTCGACGCTGAAGAATGTAATTGTGTACCTTAAGCTGCAGCGATAGTTAAACCGAGCTCCTGCCTCCACTATTAATGCGGCAGAGTGCTACTCTTAAGAGGCACTATAACTCTTTATGTAGGCAGAGCTTTCAATTCATGAATTTATTTCCTTCCTTCCTTTCTTTTTTTTTAAAGACTTTCAGAGATAAAGTTTTCTGTTTGGGTATTAATTCAATATAGATTTTCTGATGCATTTTTTTTTCCTTTTTAACAAAGTCAGGGACCAGAAAGACTAGTGTGCGTTTGTATATAGCTCCACTGCCCTCCAGGAGGTCAAGTGTGAAATGAGTTGAGAGACACATTGACAGTCCATGCGTGAGCTGAAACAACTCAGGCTAGTTATCAGTAATTTGGATCTGTGGCTGTAGTCTGAGTTCTTATTATATAAAATCAAATCGAATAATAAAATAATTCAGTGAATTATCTATGTTTAGTAGATTATCATTTTCATCTGAACATTGTCTCACACAAATTATGCATGTTTTATTTGTTGATTTTAATGTTTAGTCATCTTGAACATTTTGATTTGCGATTCATTTATATTGCAAAACAAATGCAATTTTCTTAATACAATATATTACTTTGTTGGCTTCCATATACGTGCACTGCTTGTAAGTCAGACACTTGTAAGTTATCTGTATGGACAGGTTCTCTTTACACAAAGAGAGGGAACGTTTTCCCCTCCAGAGTCACAGTGAGTCTCCTGAGCTACTTAGACTGTGCTGAACTGTAGCACTGGGTCAAGACACACGCCAAAATCCATCCCCATGCCTGCGTAGTAGTTAGTATTTCTCAAATGATAATATGGCATATTCTGTAAGTCCTTCTTTCTTTCTTTCCTCCCCTGCCTCCCCAATTTCCCTATACAATAGATTTTGGCACGAAGACAGAGTAGGTATGCTAAGTCAATATAATAAACAATTTCTTTTGAAATTGTTTCAATCTGTTTCAATTTCTTGAAAAAGAAATGAAATTGCACAGGCTTCAGTATTACAGGAATCATTATTTTAAACTGATTTACTTAGGTCTAAAATGCTATTTTGCTCCTCTCAATCTGATTTTTGCCATGAAGAGAAATACAAAAGCCCCTCAAGTGTCTGAGGATTACATACATGATGAAATTTTGCTTTTCTACTCCTTTGTGTAAAGGAAGAAATTAGCTAGAAAATATTTGTCTTGAAGATGCTTCAGTATTTATGAATTATTTAGTTATTTCCTTACAGATAAAATTAATCTTAGCTACAAAGAGGGAACATTTCACTTGTTTTCTTTAAACATTTGGTAAGCTAATTGGAAGAGCAGACCACTTGTACTTTTGAGGAGCTTTAATGAACTACCTGTGGTCATGGAGGACTACATCTACACTTTAAGCATCAGCAGAGCTCAGGAAAATTAACACTTCTAGATTTACTCCTATATAATTAGCATAAATGAAGGTGTTACTTACACCACTCAAAATAATTAAGAAAAATTCTTTTGCCTTTGATCACTGAACCTTGGCATGCTTTCTAGTTGCCAAGAGCCAAATTTCTGCTCATCTATACATAAGTAGAGCATGGGGAAAGACTTAATGCACTACCTGATTCTGTCTTATGGCCATCTCTGTACTTCTAGGTCACTGTGACTACTGAAGGACTCCTTGTCTCCGTAGGAGAAAGCAGCTGAAGTCCATCGACGGTTAAAGGCAACTCACCAAGTCTTTCATAGTAGACTACTGGAGTCTGGACTTACATCTATTAGAGGTGATGGCATGTTCCTTCTGTAAGGAGAAGACAACATATAAAGAAGAGGTAAGCAAGAGGGTCAGAATTTTATTAAATGCTATACCTTTAAAAGTCATAAGAATATATGCTATTTAGCAGAAAAGGTATATTATGGGATTGGGATGCTTGGAATAGTAATGGATCAGCCTGAGAATCACAGTTTTCTTAATAATAAATATAAAAGTTGCAGATATAGAGTTTGTTTCTAATCTTGCTTGCATTGATATAAATCTAGAATAGCTCCATGAAACTGATGAAGTAAAACTAATACGAATCAGTATTTTAAAATGAGATAGTCAGCCACTTTTTACATATTACTGTCAGAGCTGCATATCTCCACTGATTTTATTAGAGTTATATATCAAGATCAGACTTTTAAATCATTCCATAATCAAACCTCCTGTTGCAATGACAGGTAACTCCTGTCTATTACATACATTGAAATATATGTGAGAGGCCATTATCAATTCTGCAGCTGTAAAGTAGAGCCTGTGTTTCTGGCTTTTTCTCCCTGAGTGCCCATGTAGAGTTCTCTCTGCAGGCCAGTGTTCCTGTACAGGCAAATCTTGTCACTGATCTCCAGGAACAATAAGCCCTTGAAGACAGACTGGTTCCGGTTGGAAGGGACCTCTGGACACCACCTGGTCCACCCCTCTCCCCACTGAAGCGTGGTCACCATGTCCAAGAGGGCTTTTGGACATGTCCAAGGTCAGAGACTCCACCACCTCTCCCTGCTGGTGCGGCGCAGAGGGAAGCAGCTCGATGTCATGCAGCTGGAGTGAAGGTTTGTGCTACACATGCCTGTGAATCGAGTGGGAAGGAGGGGAGAGAGGGGAATAGGATGTGACATGACATTGCTTTGAAGCTCCTATCAAGTGCAAATAAGGCTCATACGAAGAAAGTCCCTGCTAGGGAGCTGTCTGTTTTTATTTGTGGTGTTTAGCTTGCAACCAAAAAATCTGTTTTCGTTCAATTCTTAGAGCGTTCAGAAAAGCATCAAAATGACAATTTGCTTCTGGTTCAAGAAAAATTATGGTCTGTATGATTATCAAGTCAGCTTCATGTTCAGTTTGATTACAGAAAGCCATGATTTTAAAATATTGAGCTTATCTCAGCCAACGGATCAGACCTCGTAATTTTTTATCTAAACCCAATATTTTCCTAGTGCACGTAACCCCTCTCTGCCCTTCTTGTTTCTTTTTCGATAATAAACTGCTGACAAGCCATGTTTGATTGTCTTGTGAAGGCGAGAGGATCAAATACATACAGAGTATTAACAAAAAGAAAGAATGTCCTTAGGGAAAAAAAGTGTTGCAGAACATGAATTCAGTTGTACTGCTGAAAGGAGTTGTCAGTCAATGTGAAAAACCAGTTCAGAGGCCTCCTGCTACGGGGAGGGAGCGGGACCCTGGGCAGCGATACGGGCTCTTTTGGGAGGGCTTTGCTCACCCTTGTCAGGCAGGAGCTGGGCCGAGGGGGGCGCGAGGGAAAGGGGGGGTGCAGCTTCCAGCCACTGACATTGTGGCTTTGCTGCCTGGCTTTCTCACAAGCAGAGGGTAAACATTCCTTCTCCAGCACGTTGCATTGTCCAGAACCAAAGCCCTTTTTCTTTCCCAACAGCGCTGTCTGCCTGTTTCTTGCTTGTTTAATATTTTTCCTTGCTTTTTTTTTTTTTTTTTTTTTTTTTTTAAAAAAAAAAAAAAAAAAAAAAAAAAAAAAAAAAAAAAAAAAAAAAAAAGTTCTAGGAAAAATATTAAACCCTTGTTCTTTTACTTGTAAATTCTGCTATTCTCTTAAAATTACTGCTAAATTCTCCAGGTGTTTAGTTCCCTGGCTATTATTTGGGAGGAAGCTGCTTTACACATTCTTTTTTTTTTTTTTTTTTTTTTTGACTCTAGCCTTTTCTTCCTCCAGTTGGTGCTACTCTATGGAGAACAAAACAAACCAGGATGAGGCGTTAGACCTCTGGAATTACGGCCACTTGAGTGATGTTTGGGAAAGCAGGTAAGGGACTTTTAGCTTACAAGAAGTTCCCATAGACTTTTAATGCCTGTATGACTACACTACACACAGGACCTGAGCTGTGGCCAGCGTTGTACTGGGGGGGCTGGCAGCCCACCCAGTGGGCGTAGTGAGCATAGAGAAGGAAGGCTGACTTGCATCTTAACAGCATTTGACATGCTGAAACATGTTACATGAAAGCCCAGTTTGAAGTTTAAGAACTGACCGAGTAGCAATAATTTTGCCATGGAATTTTGCTTAAAAATCACTTTGTATGGATTCTATGAACATGTTTGCATTTACTGTTCGACACAACTACATAGAGAAAAACATTTAAAATCATTTTCTGTCTATAGCTGATCCTTGCCTGGTATTTGTCATTTTGGTATCTCTTCTTCTCTTGTCCATGCCAGTTAACATTACATTACAAAAATAGTACTTTGCTGCTAGCCTCAGAGCAGGTCCTCTTCTATTCACATACTCCAGCCAGAGCTCAGATGTAGCACTGGACAGGAAAAAAAACAAAGGAAACATAGAATCAAAGAAATAGAAAGACATAGAATGAAAGTAAAAGTTTTCTTGAAAGAAAGAACAAGAAAAAGGGGGCAGTAGCTTTGAATTCACAAAGGGTCAGAAAAGCTCAGGTTCCTTTAGCAGAGTATGTAAGTAGTCTGTTTATTCTCATAAAGCCATTGCTTTGTACGTATATCAAATAAAATATTCAGAAAGCTTAGGAAGAAAATTCTGTAGCCCAGAGACAAATGTTTGTCTTGAACAAGGAGGAAAAGAAACCTTTAGAAGTTAATGTTGGTGCCTCTCCGTCTGCACCACTACCTCTTGAGTTAAGAACTTTCTCAGATTTATCATGAGTTAATATACATAGATACTAAAAACCACACACACACTCTGAACCTTCATGTTTCCAAGCTTAATAATGCAGCAATTTATTTCAATATGAATGAAAAGGCGACTCATGCTTGACTTGAGCTTACTTTGAAACAAAAATTCTCCAGCTGTGTGAGAGGACTGTGACTTCCCAGCTGCTGTCTTGACCCAGCTGACAGGTAAATCAGGTAGAGCTTTGTTCCTCCAAGGTTATCCGTTCCGGGGGTAGGTCTGCTGTTTGGTATGCAGGCTTGCAACACCACCCTTTGAAGACGTGGAGTTGTCTTGCTTTCGCTAGATCTTAAGCTTCCTTTAAACTATGATGAAGTTTAGGTAAAAGAATTCTAATCACCAAAGAAATCCTTTAAAGCATTGATGTTTTCAGCCGTTAGATCACCTTGCAAAAGCAGCAATGGAGAATGAAAACTCTTGTCCAGTTGTGTATAAAACTTTGCCTATGCATACAGGCTTCGACGTGACAATAAAAGGAATCAAATATTGGACTTGTACCTGTTCCTGTGTCAGTCACTGTAAAAAGCCGCTAGTGCTAATTTACTTCAGCTTACAACCTAATCCATTACGGATAGAGCAAAGCAAAGTCAGAAAACAAAACATTTTATTATGCATAAGTTTCTTATTAGAATAGAATAATCCAGCCAGAAATACTCAGACTTAGTAAATATTTGCAAGTTTGGATAATACGCTTGCCATCATAATTGGCAGAATTGATCTTGCTGAGTATTCACTTCACAGATCAAAATTATCCCTTCTCCCAGGCAAGTCATATATAGACAGATCCCCCCTTTCCTTTTCAAATTTTTCCTGACGAGTAGCTGATAGAAAATACAATTTCACTGCAGGTTAATTTAAAATTTATTAGAAAAGAAGGTGAGGTTTTAGCTGAAAAAACCCCACACTACTTTTCAATCCTCTTTTCTGGAACTATGCTTATTTGTCACATTGCCTCAATAAATATGATAATAGCATTATATTGTTAGCATCTTAATAAGTTGTTTGGTTTTTTTTGCAACCATCTAATGTGGAAATCCCAAAATTTGTTTAGCATATTTGGTATCTGATCCAAGAGGAATTTTAAAATCATTTCACAAGACATGAATCCAACAGTTTTTATAATTTCACAGCTCATTCAAGTTTGCTTTATCTTATGCTGCCATTTGCACCTCTGCAGAGCATTCAAACCTGAAGCGTAATGCCGGTGCTGTAGGCGTTCTGTGGGCACTGCCATTCACATAGACACAGAAGACAGACATTTTAGTATGGCCAAACATCTAATTAACTATGGTGCTTGTTCATCAAAACACCTGTCAGGTAATGGCAGAGAACTATGGATGATGATAAAACAGAGGTTGCGGGTTTATTGCATTTACCATTTATTTTTATAAATTTTACCGTTTATTGCATTGCTGTTCCAGATGTGCTCCAGCCACTCGGGTTTGTTGCTTCAGTTGAATAAACCAAGGTTATGCTCTATGGAAAAGTAAAGTAAAAACTTTAGGAGTCAACAATGAATTTGATTTAAACTATAGCACCGCTGACAGTTTAACATTTCTGAATTCTATTTATTTGGAAAATTATTCTGCCTTAATTTGGCTGATGTCCCCCAGAGAGCTGGTACCAGAGCAGAAGGACTTGCATGCAGAGTGCAGAGAAAAGCATTCTAGTGAGCTTCCTTTGGTGATGATACTGTAAAGCATGAGCACAGTTCTAGTCAAAGGTACAATGATTCCATTTCCAAAGCCAGGAAACTGTAGAGTACATAATCTATTTTACTGCTGGAGTGCAAAGTCGCTTAGTAACCGCAAAAGTCAAATAAGGTCATCTATTCCAGATGATGTACAATGAAGGAAGTACTTCACTGAATCCCCTATGAAGACAAGCCCTTATTCAATTCAAGTGAAAGCTTTCCAAATATTTTTAAAATACTGGTATGATGAAATAATACTTTTCATTTTTTCGGAGGAACTTCTAAACAAGGTATTGATGTAGCTCGCTATCAAAAACAATGTTTCTATTCCATACCGAACTTCAAAGGGGGTGCAAGGAACAGCCTTCTTACCTTTCAGTACTAGCTTCAACTAACCCATTTAGCCGTACAGTGAAATAAAGGAGGAACACTTCCTAAGTCAATTACAGCAGTTGATAGATGTTTTAGGAAATACTGTCTCTCAGCTGAGGCGCTGTGACTGTTTGCTGAGGGTGCTTTACTCCTCCGTAGCCACGCAGCAAGAGGATGCGCACAAAGTTGCACGACAAGAATCCTGCTCCAGTTGCTCGGTTTTGTCCCTTTCTGAATGCAGCTGGCTATACTAAGCATGTGTTAAGATACTTGATAGCTGGATACAAACTATCCCATTGTGATACTGCATTTTTATGGCTTCCTAACGTGCGTCTTCAGATAGATACTTGATATCTGGATGCAAACTATCCCATTGTGATACTGCATTTTTATGGCTTCCTAACATGTCATCATTCCTGATTCTGAGGTTTTATGCTCATCCTAAACTGACATAATGGTGGGCATCTACTTAGAGTCTTGCTGTCTCCTCTCTCCTGTCCTCAGGTACCTGTGCCAGCATCATGTTTCTTCATGTTAAACTCAATCAAGAACATACTGTGATTGAAAATATTTTCCCCCCCGCCACGTGCAAATCAGGCCTGTGGTCCATCACCCTACATAACACCACTAGTGCAGCTGTGGGTAAAGAGAAGGATGAAGTGTCAGTAGTGGAAACAGCAGCTGGGAATGCTCTGCATTTCAGTCATCATCACACCACAGCCCAGACACCAGAGGTAAAGCCACAGTCTCTGCTAGCTCTAAAATGATCTGCTTTTCACTGGCAAGGAACTAAAATGTTTACAGTGAAAAAAAAAAGCTTAGAATTTCCTTTCAAAGCATAATTAACTAAGCAATTCACAACAACTGTTTTGTTTTTTCTGTACTCACCATTCAGTAATTACCACTTTGAAAAAAAATAATGGTTCTTTAATGTGAGCTCCTGACAGCAAAGGCGCAGGGGAACTGACATCCAAAGTTGTCATCTGGTCTGGCTCACTGATTTCTCCAGCACAACATACAGCGTGGACTTAGGCGATCACGAGGGTGAGCTGCAAAGAAGCCGACACGTAAAGGAGAACAAGCATAACCTGGAAAACTACAGCAAAGAGCTTATAACACTGCACCATGAGAGAGATTTACCAGAGAAGGACTACTTTGCAGGTGGAAATGATTTATGTGCCAAAACGGAGAAAATAACACTGAGGGAAGAAGGAAAAACAAAACAAAAGGAGGAAGATGTGATAATATGAAAGACAGCCCACAGAATAAAGGAAGGGAAGGAAGTGAAATGGCAAACTGAGAAGCAGGTAAAAAAAGCGATGGGTTGCGACTCTGTGGTATCATGGAATGAAATGAATAAAAAGAAAAATGAATTTTAGAAGCCTGAAATTAACGCAAATCAATAAATTTGCTTTTTATTTGAGATGCAAATGTTGCTTAAGTCTAGTTTTGTTGTAGAAGTCGCTATGCAAAATCCAATTTCCTTTAGAATTTTGTTGACTTATTTGTTTAAATTATTTTGGGTTTCTGTAATAGTATTTAAATATTATTTAAATATTTATCATGTGTATCTAAAAGCAGCCAGAAGAGATAATAACTAAGAACTCCTTAAATTTTCTGACATTTTACATTGCACGTAATGCAGAGGCTTTGTAGAATGCAGATAAATTTCCTTGACCCATTGCTGAAATTTGAATAAACATATAATTATGGGCTTTAAAATGTGTTTTTTATTTATAGTGAGACATTAGGACCTGATGTGGTAGGTTTAAAGTAGCATATTAGAAAATCTTTCAGCTTGCAGACAATTAGAGCTATTGTGGGGTCACTGTGGGTTAACAATTTATTCCCGAAATGAATGGGAGTTTTGTCATTGATTTAACAGGATCGGTAAAGTACATTTTGCTTTTTCATTTTTTTTAATAGTTCTTCTGAACTGTGCATTGTATTCACAGAAATCTCAATCTTATTGGAAATCTAGCTGTGGAACAGGAAAGCTAAGACACAGGTACACTTACCCTGGGAGCTGGTATTTCTGTACCCAGAAGTACTGCCTTCACGTGGATGACAGCCATCTGGGTGATGACTGACGTTTCTCCATGGCTTTTTGCCTTGTATAAACACATGGGGAAATTCTGTAAAAGAAAGTAAATCAGAAAACACTGAATTCCTTCAGGTGCAGGTATGAGTAGAAAACACATTCTGCATTTCCACTTCCAATCAAGGAATCAAATGCATCTGAGTGACTTCAAAAAGCCAATGCACAATGGCAGCTGGTTCCAAGCTATCCAGGAGGGTAAGCGCATGCACACAACATTCATTAAATAACGTTGAGCCATATATTAATTAGTAGAGATCTGCTATTTTATGAATCATAAAAAAAAAAGATTGGTTAGTTTGGGAAAACTAAGCATTAGTTCATTATAATTTATAACTATATATTGGGCACAAGTATTACAATTTTGCTGGGTCTTGCTTTTCTAACATCTTGCAACCCCCTGAAATTGCAAAGAGAAAAAATAGGTAACAATACATTTGCATTAAAACTGTGAAATTATAATCCAATTTGAATTTTAAAAGCTATCTTGTTAATGATTCTGAGACATTCTTAATCTGTAATAGCATAACATAATATAAAATTAATATACAAAATATGTAATTTCTGCAAGTTATAATATAAATGCTGCGTTTATAGAATTGATTCAAAATGGTAGGTCATGATGAGAGGTGCTCTGCAGACACAAGGTAAAGGATATTTCCTCACCACAGACCATGAGAGGTGACCAGTGGACAGTACTGTAGAAGAGGTAGACAGCACTAATGCTTACTCAGAAAGGGTTATGGCACACTTAAAAGTTCACGGAGGGAACTGATCTGGAAAAACTAACATGTTACACTTCCTCACTTACTTCATTGTCACTTGAGAGATAAGCCCTCAGGCCAAGCAGATAAATATATCTTCACTTCAGCCAAATTTCCTACTGAAGGCACAGTGTCAGAAAAGTATGCGTTAAACACGAACAAATGGTTTGCTGAACAGGAATGGACTAGAACAAGAGACTTCAGAGTGGTTAAGTGTTTTGCTGGAATAGGAGCTTTAATAGAAAAGACAGATAAAAATCTGATAGATTCATGAGTCTAAGCACACCGACAGCCTCAGGGTGTGTTTTACCTGACCCATGTACAAGATGGATGGGGCTGCCCCTACAGTCTCTTCCAAAGAGAAGCGCTTCCCTGCATGGACTCTCATTGGCAGCCAGGCTGGTATCCAGAGTTGAAGGATGCTGGATCTTGGCACGTGTCTTTTTGATGTTTTACCATGCACACATAGAATGGATTGCAGCCTGCCTGCCTCACCAAGCCTGTGTCCCTGCATCATCCCGTGCCCGCGGTTAAAACCAGTACCATTGCCAATACGGCGGTTGTTGTTTGGGTAGCCTGAGCCCACCGTCCCAACCATGGTCCCTTTTGTCTTATAAGGAATTTCTGCTTTGGTCTCGACCACAATATTTACCAGTGTTGTAAAATTAACACAGGTATATACAGCTTCAGTGTCAGAGCTGGCTAATATTGGTGGTACCAGTGTTGTAAAATTAACATAGGTATATACAGCTTCAGTGTCAGAGCTGGCACCTGATAGAGATTCAGCACAAGCACAGGCTAAATGAGATATTCAAAACTGATAGCAGTTTCATTCTTCTGAAACAAAAAGTGTTTCATTGGCAGCCAGGCTGGTATCCAGAGTTGAAGGATGCTGGATCTTGGCACGTGTCTTTTTGATGTTTTACCATGCACACATAGAATGGATTGCAGCCTGCCTGCCTCACCAAGCCTGTGTCCCTGCATCATCCCGTGCCCGCGGTTAAAACCAGTACCATTGCCAATACGGCGGTTGTTGTTTGGGTAGCCTGAGCCCACCGTCCCAACCATGGTCCCTTTTGTCTTATAAGGAATTTCTGCTTTGGTCTCGACCATAATATTGGTGGTACCAGTGTTGTAAAATTAACATAGGTATATACAGCTTCAGTGTCAGAGCTGGCACCTGATAGAGATTCAGCACAAGCACAGGCTAAATGAGATATTCAAAACTGATAGCAGTTTCATTCTTCTGAAACAAAAAGTGAAAGCCCAGTTGAAATAAGTATTTCCTTAAAAGTGATGGAAAGGGAGGTGATTTTAGGGTCTATCTGCATGTATATATAGTCAGGGTGGCATAGATGCCAACAAAGAGCTCCCAGCTGCTGCTGATGCTCAGGGCCCAAACTGTGTGGGTATCCCTATCCCAGTTCTCCTTTTCCTTCTCAAGTGTGTTCCTTAGGGGTCAAAGACCATTTGTAACATTAAACGCTTTGCTTAAAGCAATCCTTAAAATTTGCTGGTGAATAGTTACCACAGTGTAAAAGCAATTTATCTGCTCCTCATCTCCACTGAAGCACACAACACCTGAAAAAGTTCTCCAGCTTTATGCACCAGCGTGGGGGCCTAGGCCAGGACTTCCCCAAAAGTGCCAAAAGGCACTGATCTGCAGCTCACAGAGAACCTTTCACAGCCACCCCAAAAAAAAGGTGGTCTGATTTTGCAAAGCGCTCAACATTTAGATACAAAGACGAACCCTACCAGTGTAAAACTGACTTCAGACATCCATAATGGAAGAGCTATTTTTTTCAGCTCATATTAGTAAACAGAAAATGTCAATTGAGCAGTGTCAGTGTTTTTCAAACTGATTTGCAATTTTCTACAATATCAATATTTGCCGTGTTAAATAATAAAGCTACCTTTTAAGATCAAGCCAGACATTTACTGCTGTTAGAAAAAATAATAATACAAAATGGTTACTTTGAAAGGTTACTTAAGCTATTCTGCAGCTTTCTCAGTTTTGTTTAGCTTAAATTTTGAGCCCCTTACTCTGACTGATTAGTGCTTTTTCCAAGAGAATGACAAATTAATCATTTTGATTTGAAAAACACATTTTTGCTTTTCAAAATTAATATTATATTTACTTATTTTTTCCTTTTTATTCAAGAGGCTAGGAGATAAACATCACCCTTTCTTCTGGACACTGTAAAAATGTCTGTACAATAATTTACTCCGTCACCAACAGTAACCTGACCTCTTTTTTGAAGAGCATGAGAAAATGTGTTAATGAAGAACATCTCAGAAGCCCCATATATCTATTTCAATACCTTTGTTTGAACTGGAGACAAGTTCGAGGACGACTGTGTGTGTACCCGTGGAGGTGAGCATAGGCTGCTGTGAAAAGCTCAGTCTCCTTAACGATACTCTGTAAAATAAAAGGTAAGAAAGAACTGAAATAGAAGTTGGCTTCAGAAATCTCCTGTGGTACCTTATCCTTGAACTGAAATTCCACAGAAATTTAGCAATAGGTAGTCATCAGAAATACAACATAGATGCATGACTGGACAATAATCTAACAAAAGGGAGCTACTGCACTAGCATTTCATAATAATTGAAGAGTAATTGTAAAAATTCTTATGCAAGTGCTATTGGATACTAGAATTCCCACTGCACAGTTTATTTAAAAATGAGGAATCCTGTGGAAAAAAGGCCAATTTTTGTCCCAGATTTTGGAAGATGATGGTAGATATTTATATGGCAGAATTAATCACAGATGTTTTGCTCAGAACACGAAATAAAATAAACAGTTGACTTTGGATTATTTCCCATGCTACTTAGTTTTGCTTTATACTTGAGAGATGAAACTTTTCCAATAAAAATGTTGTTGCTCACTTGTCTATTGGGATGCTTTTAATGTTGTTATTATCTGTTTTAGAATAGGAAATTTAACCTTTTTTTTCAGTATCTATAGAAGATCTTTAAAAGTCAGTACAGTATCTGCTTGTCTGTGCATGCAAACAGGAATAACTATCTGGGGAACATAATCATGGCAAAAGGTCATGTTTGCCTTTTATTTGGAATACTTCTAGACTATCAAGTGGTTTAGAAGTCACTCAATCAATACCAAAAGTCAAGGAAAATAGTTCGGTTTATCAACATTAATATATTTTGAGTTTTCTAGGATGGAACATTGTTTCCCTCGGCATTTAATTGAGGTTTCATAAAATGGCTGTTTTCATGTATCTGGCAATGGTATTTTAAGTTGCCCTCTACTGCAACAACAGCTGGACGTATCTGGCAATGGTATTTTAAGTAAGTTGCCCTCTACTGCAACAACAGCTGGAGACACAAATGACTGAAAAACCTACAAAACCCAGCCGAGGACCCTTCCCCTCCTCTTTCCCCTTCTACCTTCAGAAGGTGAATCAGCTCAAAAGCTGAGAGTGTAAACACCCCATATACATGTAAAAATAGTAAGAGGGTGCTGAGGGATATATATTAAATCCATACATACCATGGATCAGTTTTGATTTCCTGCTGCATGCTCCATTGACACAAGAGGAACTTTTGGGTGCACAGTGAAAGGCGAGAATGAGTCCTCCAGTGCATCCCTGTTTGCACAACAACACAAATGGTTTCATATCAAAACAGAGACAGTTAAAAGAAAGAAGCACATCTGAGGTTTTGGGATAGATGTTTTTAGAGTATTTCACTGTATAGTCTGTCTGAATTACATTAATTTAAAGGCATTAATTTAAACAATTTAAAAAATTTGTTACTGTCTGCAACTGTCTGTCTAGTGAAAAAAAAAGGGTTGTTTTCAAGTAAGTAATATGGGATAGATGTTTTTAGAGTATTTCACTGTATAGTCTGTCTGAATTATATTAATTTAAAGTCATTCATTTAAACAATTTTAAAAAGTTGTTGCTGTCTGCAACTGTCTGTCTAGTAAAAAAAAGGGTTGTTTTCAAGTAAGTAATTATGCTAGAAACTTCCCCCATAAAACAGAACCCCAAAACTACCTGCATCTTTGAAGTAAAAAAAAACCACATTTTTTGAGGACTGACAAAGGAACATACATACAAAATGGAAAATTTGACAATAATAATCAACAGTATTAAAATAGCATTGCTTTTGGTGAATTCCACATATCCCTCTTCACTCTGACAATTGAACATTGTCAATTAAATAATGAAGGAGAAGAGTAATATGTCTTGACACTGTAGAAGCAGCGAGAGTCCAGAGGGACCAGCCTTAATGCGGGCTACCGGGGTAGGTGAACCCTGCAGGATTAGCTGAGTGAATTATGAGTGCAGGCTGCAAGATTAGAGTTAATATGGGGAATATTAAAATAGCATTGCTTATGGTGAATTCCACATATCTCTCTTCACTCTGACTATTGAACATTGTCAATTAAATAATGAAGGAGAAGAGTAATATGTCTTGACACTGTAGAAGCAGCGAGAGTCCAGAGGGACCAGCCTTAATGCGGGCTACCGGGGTAGGTGAACCCTGCAGGATTAGCTGAGTGAATTATGAGTGCAGGCTGCAAGATTAGAGTTAATATGGGGAAATGGGCTAAAAGAGCGTGGAGAACTGGGTCCACGTCTTGGGTGCTGCACTTTAGTTGAGACCAGATTTCTGGGAATGTGGTATTGGACATTGAATTTTGCTGCACCCTAAAACTCAACCACTTTAATCACTCAAGGAACCCTAATCGTTATTGAAACCCAGTTCTTCCACTATGCCTTGCCGGTCCTTTTATTTCAAAAAAAGAATTCAAGAATCTCTGTAATGCTATGCTAAGAAGTAGATGTATTTAAATGAAAAATAACTTGGTTAGAAAAAATGTAAATGCTCAGCCTGGGTGAGCATTTTCTTAAATAGTCATTATCTCAAAATTAGTGTGAAGGCTGAAAAACTAAAATAGCTTATTAATGGACTGAGACTCCTGAAAGTTTTTCATAATGGGAGTCAGGTGTGTAGAATCTTTTGAAAAACCTCACTAAGTACCTATCTGCATCTTTAGGCACTTAAATGCCTTTAAAAACTTGTTCCCTATTGTATTATTGTCAATTAATTTCAATTAGGGTGCTAGTATTGGAAAATATTCTAATGTCTTCACAGATATAAGAACAGCAGTCATACAATAAGACTGTTTCAAAGGCACTTAAAGATACACGGGAGTTTAACTTTTAGTGGGTAAAATTTAACTTTTAGTGAGAGAACCTATGTATTGCAGGTTGCAAAGTTTCCATTTCACTTCTCTGCAGCTCTTTAAGTGAGGGGAGTCCAGGTTCACAGAAGGGAAAGTTAAGAAGATTGTTGTGAGGTTTTTTTGAAAGTATGAGGGGGTGTGGAGCAAAGGACAGAGCTGAAGCAGGAGCCTGGTCGTGTTCTCCAGACGTGCCTTAGGTGGGGACGAGCACTGAGGGGATGGGAAGCAAAACATGGTTCCTTCCCCTTATCATGGCACAGCTTATCTATGGGCCAGGATGGGACAGGATATTGTTACCTGAGGTCAGCGCAGGTTTGGGAGTTCAACGGATCCTGGTACCTGAGCAACAGCTCCTTTCCAACAAGGCTGTGAAGGTTACTGGGAGGAACAGGCTCCTCTTCTGTACTTTATGAGGAAAATTCACTGTCTCTCCATTTTCTTCTTTTCCTATTTTTCCGTCTTTCCTGAAAAAAAAATCATAATCACAATTCTTAACTCCTATCAAACGTTTCATACTTAAGCATTTCATACTTGTAAACAAAACGACTGAAAGCTGTCAGTTGGAAATGTCATGTCTGCTGTCAATGGTTCATGAATAATTGACACTGAGATTACCTAGGGAAAGCTGCAATTATCCTGACTCATTAACATATGAACTAAGCTTGGTTTTGTTCTGCGGTTTGTAGGATTTTCATTTAACTCCTTGATGTAGGATGTAAAAAAATCCCGGCAGGATGTTGCTATAAAAAGAATAAATCTGAATGAATAAACAAAACCTCAGAACTATGAATATGTATCAGAATTTCAAGTAGCGTTTCATTTAATCTTGAATATACTTTTTTCTACGGTATTATTTTCAGGGAATATTGCTGTGATAAATTTGTTTGCTAGCCTAAGGCTTGGAGGATAGCTCTTCTTTGGAACATACATGCACATGAAACAGGTGTCAATGGGAAGATCTTCTTGCCCATCTTTCTATTTTCATGTGCAATGCAGTTGTAGATATCTACTCAGAAAGCAGAAATAGTTGGTGATCACTCAGAGCACAAATAGAAAAAAAAAATCAAGCAAGCAAAGTCTCCTGGCTGACCACAGCATCAACAGAGGGAAAAACAGTTTTTGGAGGAATTCCCTTTTAAAAGAAACGCAACAAACAAACCCAAATTTAATTTGATTTTAAGACTAAAGTTTAGCAAATCAACATTTACTGTTGAAACAAGCAAGCAAAGCAAGCAGTCAGAAATTCCACAAGCCACGAAAAACATGTAAAGAAACAAGCCCACAATATTTACAAAGATAATATAAATTCCTAACTGACGCTTCAGAGGAAATACGTGTTAAAAGCTTTCTCTCAATCTGTACAATATGGCAGGTTCAACATTTTTTAGCTGCTGTGCAAAGTTGTAGGGCAGCCTCGAGGTTTAGGTCACAGACCGAGTTAAAAGTTCTTGAAAAAAGCCCTTTGAATTGAAAGCTGAAACCATGAAGCTGTTTCCCACAAGTAATTACCATTTTGGATGCCCCTCGCTGCTGGTCCCACTGTCTTCAGAAGCACACCATGAATTGGAGGCCATCATATCAATCTATAGAGCTGAATTATAACTTCTCTGCTATAATGAGCTCTCTTTGACAGCTGCACACAGTCAAAGTCATTGTTCAGAAAGGATAACCAAGCTATTGCCTCTCAAGTGTAATACACTTCATTAAAATGCAAGTCATTTCTTGAGACACACATTCACTGAACTCCAACCCCTCATAAATCTTGTAACATTTCATTTCTTGTTCACAGCTCTGAAATCTTTAAATTGGGGCCTTTGGTAACTTTCCTCATAACCTCAAAACACATATAAAATTCCCTCTTCAGTCTTACCTTTTTTCTTCTTTTTTGTAAAAAATTGCAAACAGTTTTGAAGATCTGGCCCAGAAAGCCAACCGTATCCTGGGCTGCATCACAAGAACCGTGGCCAGCAGGTGGAGGGAGATGATTCTGCCCCTCTATTCTGCTCTTGTGAGACCCCACCTGGGGTGCTGCGTCCAGCTCTCAGGCCCCCAACATAAGAAGGACATGGACCTGTTGGAGCAAGACAAGGGCAACGAAGATGATCAGAGGGCTGAAGTACCTCTCCTGTGAAGACAGGCTGAGAGAGTTGGAGTTGTTCAGCCTGGAGAAGAGAAGGCTTCAGGAAGACCTTTTCAGTACTTAAAAGGTACCTACAAGAAATATGGGGAGGGATGTTTTACAAGGGTATGTAGTGATAGGACAAGGGGTAATGGTTTTAAACTGAAAGAGGGGAGATTTAGATTAGATATTAGGAAAAAATTACTTACTGTGAGGGTGGTGAGACACTGGAACAGGTTGCCCGGAGAACATGTGGATGGAGGTGTTCAAAGCCACATTAGATGGGGCTTTGCGCAGCCTGATCCTGTGGGAGGTGTCCCTGCCCATGGCAGGGGGGTTGGAACTAGATGAGCTTTAAGGTCCCTTCCAAGTCTAACCATTCTATGATTCTATGACTTGATCCTTGTGAAAAGCACACCTGTGAAAAGCAAAAGCAATTATTTAGGCACCTGGACTTCTCAC